AAGTAATCTTGAGTAATTATCAGTTAATTGCGTTTTTCATGAGCCTTCATTCTAAGGATTGAAGTCGCCAAAAGTACACGCATTTACATTCAGTGCTACCTATTTGATCCTATAAGTTTAAAAATAAATAGAAAAAATAGTATTCATCTCAATCTAACAACTTGAATGGAAATTTCTGCAATGTTACTTACAAGAGTTTATATGTTGGATTTTATGAATCTGAGCTACACTCGGATTTAGTTTTTGAGTGTTTAAGTGTTGAGTCTTAAAGAATAATCTAAATAAATTACATTTCTCTTGATAAATCGTTCTAACTTTTTGGTGCAGTAACAATATAATACTAATTCGGAACTTCGGAACCAAAAATGCTACGATCTGGTCGTGCACAGGAATGAAACGGCAACTGCTCGCCTTTATATTCATTAATACAAAACTAATGAGTATGAATTTCATAACTACATAACGTTCATGGGAACCGTGCAAGGAAATGATCCATTACCTATGATAATCATTGAATTCAATTCTCTGAACGGGCTTAGCTCTAGTGAAAAATCCTGCAAAAGTTATAAACCAGTTTTGAAACAACGATTCAATTTAAGCATAAGATTAAAGAATATCTCCTTTCTGAGCAGAAAGAATAAAGAGCTTCAAACCAAAAGAGAAAAGCGAATACGGAAAGGAACATACCGCGATGGAAAGCGTAATGATGGTTAAGAAGAGGACGACCACGATTAGAGTCCAAGGAATTCAAGCCCAATAAAACGGACCGTCTCGAACAAGTGGTAGCAGATGGAAGTGGTCGCAACAGAAAATGGGTTCCAATTTGAGGGGTGCCATGACTGTCACATTCTTGCTGTTGCTGCTGGTGATGCTGTGGGGTGCTGGAATCAAATGAGGAAAACGGCGAGGAATTGCAGATAGAACGGAATGAGAAGGAAGATGAACGGTGAGAGTGGTGGAGAGCGAAACGTTGCAAGAAGTAGGATGTTCGCATCAAAACGAATGTGCAAGGGCTGCTTTTGATTTGTCCTGCTTGTGTATAATCACGAATCCACCATTAGAGCATACCAAATCATGTTCTCAGAAAAGCAATGAGACCATTCAATCGAACACGCAGAGAAGACGCCGCGTGCCGGCGGGTTATTTGAAGAACAGTTGCGAACGCGAAATCGAGGGCCAGAAATTTACATAAATTCGCAGCAATTGCTACGAACTTGAAGATACGATGCTAATGTGCCATTGTAATCTTTTTTATATATATATATATATATATATATTTTCGGTAGCAGAATAAATTATTCTAAATTAATAAAATAAATTATTTTATTTTAAAAATACATTTCAACTTTTAAAAATTTTAAAAATACCGGTAAACTTTCCAAATTACTTTCATTTTAAATACAAATTATTACTATTTCATTTCAAATATTAATTTCTTTTTTTGTCAAGGTTTCAAAAATATTATTTAAATAAAATAAAATAAAAATTAATATTCTTAAATATATAAAAAAAAAAAACACTTTAAAATTTATTTTAAAAACTTCGAAAATATCTTTTTTTTGTTTAAAAAATACTCATAAATTTTTAGATTTTTTTTTTTTAAAATAGGTATTAATAAAATTTTATAAAGCTCGAGTTCTTTTAAAATAAAATATTAATGGTTTCTATATAAAAAATTAAAAAAAAATAATGGTAATAATATATTTTTAATTTTTTTTTAAGTTTAAAATATTATTGTTAAGGTTTTTTTTAGACCAATTATAAAATATAGGTGTATTTTTATTAGTTTAACCCTAAATAAATATTATATTATTATATCAACTCACGTGATGGATTTATTTGTTGCTCTTTATATAAGTTTTTTTAATTAATCTTATTTTTTAACCTTTTACAAAATTGTTCGTATATATGCCTCAGTCAAAATTTTATAGTCTTAACCGAATCATGAGATATTGCTCGAACAGAAACAAACTTCATTGTTTGATCCTGTAACATATAGGCAATGCACCTTTACAACCGTACAGTGTATAACGATTAAACCTCATTTAACTATTAGTCTATCTATTTACTATTAATATTAGTCTATTTATCTACTATTTTTAAGTCTGACTCCTTTTTTCCCAAAGCACATTGCAACATGATGGAGTTCAACTACGGATCTTCATCATAACTAACGTCTGAAGATACTATCAACAAACCTTATTCGAGGACGTGACTTCTCCATATTGTCTACCTTTAGGCATAAATTTTCATGGTTTTCTACTAATTCTATAAAAAAAATATTTCATACCAATAGAAAATCTGTCACTCCCTTATATACTAGTTATCTTCTCCTTAATGCCAACAAGAGACTTTAGCTGCAATTCCGACCATCCTTCTCTTGAAGAAAGTACCATCAAATTTTCCCTCAAATAGTCTTTTGTCTACATAACTCTTATACAAACCATTTTCTTCTTCGGAGTACATTGTTAGCCAATATAGTCGAGTATCCAAGGCTGTTATTTATGGCGAATGCCCCGGTCATGTTTGTCTAAGATGTGTTGTCCATAGGCGCATGCTCGTTCCAAACCCCTTTTACTTGCTTTCATATTAGATAAGACTTTTATCATTATTATATCCGTTCACCAAAATCATGTTCACATGTCAATGTTAAAATGCCCCAAAATGTACAATAAAAAAATATGAGTAGTTGTTAGTTCTTCTTACCCCGGTTATATGCTATCAAAACTATTGTTACCTAACCAATATTAGCTATTACCTAACTAATATTAACTTATAACATGTAATTCGAGAATACGTCAATATTATTCACAAAGTACAAATTTCATACGACTAACTTAGAACAAATGGCGCACAATCACTATTTGCCCTCTCTCTAAATATGCTGGATCATTACAGAGCTGGTGTCCAACATATACAGGTGCCTCCACCATATCAAATGTTTGAAAATGGAATCCAAATAGGAGAAAGAGCTTTAATTCGTTCAAATATGCAAAAATCTCATATCATTGCTTACCTACGGATGATGAAGCAAATAAATATCTTTGGAGGCCAAAAAACAAAACCCTTATCAAGATTTATCTATGAAGTATTGTTTCTTACAAGCAAATTCTGATAAACATATGGGAGCTGCATTATTCCCAGAAGCAACAGCTGCCCTCTTATCGCAATGAAACTATAATATAGGATGCTTGATGTTTTCAGCTATAAATCAACTCTACCAAGAATTAGAATGAAATAAAACGGCACGTTCATTTGGATCGACCTTCCTTCCTACCACGCAACCTTATCGATGGCTTGCTTTTCTCATCTGACCTTTCAAGGTTACTTCCCTCGCTCCGAGTTACAATTCGTAGAGGGTGAGCTTCTGTGTTGAACACCCATTCATCAAGAGGAATGACTGAAGGTGGTGAAAAGAGAAGATAGAGATATTTCAGTGTCTCAGCAAGGAAGAAACTCTGCATCATGTTGTCCTTAACACCTGTCTTGACCTGAAAATACCAGTCACAGGTGTACCATTGGAAACTCATACAGATCAATGATTTAAAGGCAATACAGATATTTTTAGAGTTTGAAGAGTGCTCACGTCTCTCAGCCCGACATAACCTGATTCAACCCGAGAATTCTTTTCGAATGCTTGAAATATATTCCAGCCCCACTCTTTGTATGTCTTGTTGCCAGTCAGGCGCCAGAGGTAAAATAATGATTCGACAGTCTCTGGTCTCAATATATTCCAAGACGTACCGACGCTCATATCCTAAAATTTCCATAGACTAAACGACATTAAACCACAGTACTAAACGAAACTGGTGAGAGATTAGCAGAGATGAATGATTCAGACCTCTCCGGGATGGAAGAAATAGTTCTCCCCAGCCAACTTTGTAGGGGTGGACTGGTAGAAGTTATAGCAAGTCCAAGCAAGCTAGACCAAAAATAAATCAAAGGAAGAATTACTACAATTCAAGATCCAACTTCAAACCGGTAAACCAACAGAGAACGTTCATAAATCGCCTATGCAATAATAGGGCTGGAGTGAACAATATATTCATTAGAAACTGAATTACGTTAGTCTATGCCAAACAATTAGGAGCGAAGCCAGAGGAAAATATAAGAACTTTTTACCTCTTCTGCAAGCATTAAATACTTTTTAGAATCCTCGGAATCATAACCAGATGATCCCAAAGCTATCATTCCAGGAGCAAAGCATGCTAGTTCATCCATCTGTAAATCACATTCAGATTGGGGCAAAAAAATTCATAATATTTTATCTGCTTAAGATAATCGAGAGAGAACTTAGCTGAGATCTTACCTTGTCAATTAGGGAACCTCCACTCTTCTCACAAATATAAGTGAAAGATGACGGTGTAGACCTCCTAATCAAGCTTGAAAGGCCATCCATTGACTTCTCCCACATTTCCCTGAATTCAAAATACCAACAAACAGTTCTGTACGTCAAAAAAATTTGTCACATTAAAAGAAAAAAAAAATTGAATAAACAAAAGTTAAATTATAAGTTTTAGTTTATGAACTTTCAAGTTTGTATCTGAAAAAGTCCCTAAACTTTTAATTTATGTAGCGTCCCATAGGTGGGATCAAGATTTGTGGGATTTTTAATTTTATAGAGGACGAATCTTAAGGGGGCCAAGAAGGAAAAATGCCCAAAATAAGGTAAGAATTTTTTAGGAAAAAAAATAAAATATTCAAAAAAGAAACTTTTGAAAAATAGCCCCATTGATCTTAACGGAAATAGCCTAAAGATCTGAAATTTGGAAAACTAGCCTGAAACTTCGATACTCAGTCATATTTGTCTTGCCCGAGATTTTCTTTAATTTATGGAAATCTAACCGTCCACATAGCCTGAAAATTTGATATGACGTATGAGGCTCTGCCACATAGCCATCCAATGGTGAAATTGCAAGATAATTCCGATAAGGGCCTAAAATAGGAGATTTGGGGCTTTAACAAGAAATCGGAGTGAGACCCAAACACAAGTTACAAGCTTTTACATTTTGGGTATTCTGCTCCCGGATTTGGCTATAATTGGAGAGCTACACTCAACCAACCTAGCTCAAACCAATTCCTGCACGTTCTTAACAAAATTTCCAACAAGTTTCCTGAAGGCCGCAAAGGATGAAAGTGGCTGGAAACCATTCCCTCAATTCGAGTTCTTGGAAGGCATATTCAGGAGAAATTTTGAAAATCAATTTGTGCCATACACACAAATTTGAGCCATATTCAGGGGAAGTTTTTAGCCAATTTGGGGAGTATCCAAAATTCTCCCTCTACACTCAATGTTTATTATTCAAACCAATTCTGATAGCTTCATGGTGACTTTGTGAGAAGAAGACCCAAGAACCTGAGGGGATTGACCATCAAATTGGAGAGAATGAGCAAAATTCGTTCCCTAAGGTTTATTCTAACATATTGAGAGGAAGAAAGAGAAGAATCTTGCTGAAGGAAGCGAAGGCCAATGAGCTCTGGAACCACTTGAACCAAGGAAGGGTAGCCACGAGTTTGCTCTAGCGACGAGGCTGGTTTCCAAAGGTCATTCATTCCACGGCCTGTAACTTTGTCCACGGTGAACTAAATTTCACGAGACCAGTCCCTACCTCTTCATTGACATACCCTGTACAAGTTTGTAGAAGAAATATGGGAGAGACATCCACTGTACGAGTTAGAAGAAGGTAAGTTTCAGAGTTGTAGAGGGAGACATCCATTGCCTACCCTTGTCTTCTCTTCATACAGAAGTTGAAAACGATGACATGGCCGGTTCAAACGCCCACGTCAGTCAAAATAACCCCTAACGGTTCTTTTGCCTATTTTACCCTTTTCCAGAACGGTTCTCGCCTAAATCTTTTTTCTTCCTTAAGGTTGACACCCTACAAAGTCCTATACAAGAAAGTCAGTGAAATTTGAGTATTTGGACTGCAAGAACTGAAGTCCCAAACACAACCAAGCAAGTAGCCACTTTCATCTTTCCTCGAGAAATACTGGTAAGAATTGTTTGGTATTGTCTCATAACCTTGAGTTAACTTAGAAATAAGTAAAAAATGAAAGATTAGGCCAAGTATGTATCCAAAGTTTGATGGACAAAGGAGAATGTTTAGGGCATAAACTAACGATAAGGATAAGTTGACCAAAATGCCCCTACTATGTCCTTATAATGCTTCACGGTCTAAACGAACTCCAAATGGTTTGAAATTTTATATGACACCTATTTATAAGGTTATGAATGATTATGCATGGTTTTAAAGCTATTGGAGCATAATTAGTAGCATATTTATGAGCATGTTTAGGACATAAACCAAGATTAGGGTGGAAAGTGACAGAAACGCCCCATTGAACACCTTATGGAATTTTATGTTTTTCATGAGCCCCAATTAGCATGAAACTTTGCATACCACTTACTTAAAGAAACCATGAATGTAACAGCCCAAGCCCAAGCCCAAGCCCACCATTAGCATATATTATTATCTTTGGGCTATCCCTTTCAGGTTTCCCTCAGTTTTTAAAACAAATCTTCTAGGGAGAGGTTTCCACACCCTTTAAAAAATAGATTCGTTCCCTCTCCATCCGATGTGAGATCTCACAATCCACTCCCCCCCCTCTTTAGGGCCCAGCATCCTCGCTGGCACACTGCCCGGTGTCCACCCCCTCCGGGGCTCAACGTCCTCGCTGGCACACCGCCCGGTGTCCACCCCCTCCGAGGCTCAACGTCCTCGCTGGCACACCGCCCGGTGTCCACCCCCTCCGAGGCTCAACGTCCTCGCTGGCACACCGCCTGGTGTCCACCCCCTCCGGGGCTCAACGTCCTCGCTGGCACATCGCCCGGTGTCCACCCCCTCTAGGGCTCAACGTCCTCGCTGGCACATCGTCTGGTGTCCACCTCCCCATCCCCCCCCCCCCCCCCCCCCCCCCCCTTTGGGGCTCAACGTCCTTACTGGCACATCGCCTGGTGCCTGGCTCTGATACCATTAGTAACAACGCTAGCAGATATTGTACTATTTGGGCTTTCCCTTTCGGATTTCCCCTCAAGGTTTTTAAAACGCGTCGGCTAGGAAGAGCTTTCCACATCCTTATAAATAATACTTCATTTTCCTTTCTAACCGATGTGACATCTCACAATCCACCCTGGGTCCAACGTCCTCGTTGGCACTTGTTCCCCTCTCCAATCGATGTGGGATCTCACAATGAATGACTTATGCACGACTTGAAGATTATAGGAGCATAATTAGGACATGAACCACATAAAGATAAGAAAGGATGAAAATGCCCCTACCATCCCTTCTATAGTGTTTTATGGTTTGGATGAACTTAGAATAGCATGAAACTTTGCGTGACACATTTTTATGATATAAATGCTTGACTTATGCCTAAATTTATAAAGTGTTAATCGGTAAGTTGTGATTAGGGATGACATATGCCTATGTTGTGATTAGGGATGACATGCCCAAGTTGTGCCATATTTTATGATAGACCATTCAAGCTACAATCATGAACTTATGAACCTATGATTTTGCTTTAAGGTTAAGAGCCAAGCCAAGTACGTTTGTTCTTAGAGATGCACAACCCAAGCCCTCAGACCCGCCTTATTTCCTAAGTCACCCTAGACCTCTCGGTACACAATACATCATGATCATATGTTTCTCTCACCAAGGTGAGATGCCTTCCTTTGCAAAATGTCAAACTTAGACTATGTCACGAGGGATGCATGCGGATGTCGAGGTCGATAGATGCCAAATTTGAATTCCGAATCTCAAGTATGGAACATTACAACCATGACTCGTGGAATGCAGGGGAATGTCAACGCAGTTATGGGACAAATTTGGATTTCGAATCCCAGACATAGGTTTTTTTAGGTTCATGTTGTTAACCGCCCATGTGACTTGGTAGGTTTTCTAGGGAGAGTGTTTTAGGATCAGGACTAGTGTTATACATTGTACATTGTGTATGGAGTGGAAGTGGACAGCCTGATAGCATCCACTCTCCTTAAACCCATCAAAGGATGAGGGATCATATATGTGCATGAGTCACGGCTAGACACGATGAAACCTTATGAACTTAAGAACTTATGATATCTAGGACCAAGGTTCTCAAAATAGAAACTATGTAGGCCTTTAGTCAGGTTTTAGAGTATATTACTCTAGAATCCTCCCATGGACATGATTAAGAGCCTACAAGTAGGCTACTTACTGAGTTTTATACTCATTCTAGTTTTTATTTATCTTTTAGGTAATAGCTAGAAGACTGGTCGAAAACAGAGCGAATATAGAGCAAGTGCCATAGAGAGCCAAACCTAGGAGCAAAAGCCTAGAGAGCCAAACCTAGGAGCAAAAGCCTCCACTGGTTTTGTGTCAGTCTTGTCCACTTGTATTTTGATCTTCGTTCCATTTTTGTGTATTTAAACTTAAACACTATTTTAGACATTGTAAATATATATTGTATGTATGTTTTATGTTTTTAAACCTCGAGAATCTTGTTTTTTAAAGTGAAAAATTTTACCGGATTTTTACTTCGTCGACGCCCACGTCACAATCCGTGCTTCAGATAGCTCAAAAACCGAGTCGTGATAATCTATGTCCAATAGATCTTTGAACTTTTAATTTATGATAAGTCTCTTACATATTTGATATTTTACTTCTAATAGGACTTTAACTTCCAAATTAGGTATGTAATTTTTAAAAATGTTGAATAGGTCAAGAACTTATTAGACAAAAATTGAAAGTTCAAGAATTTATTGGATACTTTTGAGTTTTGAAAGTCTAGGGACCTATTAAATAAAATTGAAAGTTTAGGAATATATTAGATATTTTAAAAGCTTAAGAAAAAAATAGACAATCCGGAAATCCTTAAAGCTTTGAGACTAAACTTGTAATTTGACCCATAAATAAAAAGAATAATAATAAATTCGTAAAAAGAACTCATGAGTCATGCATTGTGTTAAATATCTATTACTCTAAAACGTACAATCATTTTCCGCCAACACGTCCCCTATCTAAATTTTTTTCATTAAAAAAAATCTTTGTGCTGTGAGAATAATAGATGAAATGGCTTCATACCGGTAATGTTTTACAGCTGCAGTTTTGTTTCCATGTATCCATACTTTGAGCAAGTATTCATAAAAGCTGCGATGAATCTTCGAGTTAAAGGGTACCAGTGAAAAGTTAAGAGTGGTTTGGTAAAAACTTGAAATGAAAGGGAGTAAAAACTCAGAAAAAAAAAAATTGCTCAAAAACATAATATAAAATATCGATCTTTGATGATTGAATACCTGTCACCCATGGCACCAAAAGTAATGGTTGAAGATGATGCTTTTCCTTCATTTTGATCAATGTATATTGGAAGCAGCCCATCATCGGGGAAACTTCTATTGAGCTGTGATATAACATTCTCAACCTGACATGTTGTACACCAAACATTCAGTATTCTAGGAAGCCAATTGACGCAGAGAATAACACTTTACAATCAAGCAAGTACAATTAATAAATTAATCAAAGCCACTAATAGTGGAACATTAGTTCCATACGCTAGAAATGGAGATCAATATCCTTCACATATAATACAAAGAACAATTGCTATTAGGGTACGTATCAACAAGTAAACGTGTACATCATTGAGGTATACATTTCAGGACAAATAACACTTTCAGATATAGCATTGGTACACAGTTAGAGCCACCAATCTATCTATTCTTGGTCAATTGCAGAGTGGATTGAGATTGTGTAAGAACACAATATGAAAAATAAATGATAGAATTTGACCTTCTGCTGATATTTTGGATCTCCCGTCCTTTGTGATAGAGAAATGAACTCAAGCTGCTCTGTACCAGAATCTGCAAGGATACTAAGACCCTGAGAAAAAACAAAAAGAAAATTATTAGCCTCACCAAAAAATGTGTAATAATAATACATATTGAATTAGAAATAATATCATTAAGCATAATAAACTGCAACTACGGAAACTCCTATCTCAAACTACATAGCTAAAAAAAGTTGTTTAAAAAAGAACCTCCAATTGGCATGATTGGACTTGACGTTGAACACCACACATTGGCTAGAAAATACGATGAATAAAGGACATTGACCAATGTGGCACATCCAAGAAAACACCTTGGAAGTCAGATATCAAGATCGATCATGTAAAAACTAATGACGACACCAACCCTCCAGAAGTATATTATAAGAATGGAAATGTCTAAAGTTATGAATCCAAAAAGAATCACCAGGATTAAACCTCAATCCATGTGGGGAGGGATTTCAATATAAACGGGGATTTCTTGGCCTAAAACGAGTGGAGCATGCAATTCTAACTCAACATGCAAGTTTAAGGTAAAAGTCATCTCACTTCCAATACAAGGCTATGTAAGTAGCAACATATCCTAGTTTGGAACCGGACATGAACGTCCTTACACTTTTAATGCATTGGAAAACCAGAAAAAAAAATGCAAAACTTTGACGAACTCACCCCATTCCATGAAGGATTATGAGGTCTTCCACCAACCAAATTTATTAAGTTATAAGGGATTCCTGAAGGGGTATCCCATGCTGGAAGTAGCCTATCTGCCATATCTCTAGCCTTGTCAAGAAAAACTTTGTCACCGGAGAGATCATATGCACTGAGAAGTCCACCTACAACTCTGGATCCAATCAAAAGAAAGCTTTTTTATTTATGAGCAAACAAAATGTGGCAACAACTCTTTGAATTTCTCGTTAGGAGAACCAAAATAAAGCCATAGGTCCAATGGTCTTCACCCATAAAAAAGACAACTTAAAATCAACGCATATTAAACCTCATTACACAACCTTATGGTTGTTTCAAAAACACTGGCATCATAATTCTTGTTGAAATCCAATGAATTTGCAACCCACCTGTAAAGTGAAGCAATATTTAGAGCCATCAGAATTGTCTGCATAATTCTTTGGACACAACACAAAGACACATAGGCCATTGACCAAACATATGTCTACCAGGCAATGTAGAGTTGTCATTGGAAAATAGACTTAAAAAATAAAATGTAAAAGCATATACATTAAATTATAAAGAAACATATCATAATATGGTTCACCAAATAAGATGAATAGTACTAAATCTGGATCTTGACGGGGAATGGAATAATTAGCAAAGTATTAAGTTTATATGGTGATAAATAAATTTAAACTACATTGTAAATTATACAAATTAAAAAAGGGCGGGGGAGCATGGAAGAGTTAATGTGCTCAGAGTTTGTAGCAGACAAACTCCAATAACATTGTGATACCTTTTTATTTTTGTTTCTTTTTATATTGGAAACAAATGTAATTGATTTATGAAATTTACAAAAGGGCAAAGCCCATTTTCATGTCTTCGTAGCTCACAGGAAGAATAAAAGATCTAGAATATGTAACAAAGAGTCCATTTGTCCCATGCATTAAGAAACGGGGAAAAGAAGTAGTCAAAACACTCACTCTTTAGCTTTTTGAAATTGCTTATCGAGACCCATGATATACAACGTATCGAGAGAGTCTATTAGTGTTGCTCCAACACCACCAAAGCTATTGAAACCATTT